TTGGACACTGATATCGTGCTTTCGATGATGATGATGATGTTGCTTGCGTAATACGAATGCAAACTTGATTTATTGCGGTCCAACTTAGTTTTCAATGGCTCTGTCATCGATCTGGTTTTAACGTAATTAGGTTGATTATCAGGAGGTAACAAGCGCTAACAAACATCTACCTTACTAGAATATGATTAATATAATAGTTGGGTGCACTGGATAAAAATAGATACAATGCGAAGACTGGGATAAGCCATAAAGTGACTCATCGTTTGAGGACACGTGTTGAGATTTCCTGAGTGAAGTTGCGGACACGGGACGTGCCATCTCTGCAGTATAGCTGCTACGCATGTTCCGTGGTTATCCCTGGGGACTTATGGAGCTCTGTTGTTGACTTCCTGTCTTGTGCGCGCGAATTTGTATTTGGGCCTAGTTGCATCTCTATTTACTGTGTGCAGCGTGAAGAGAGGGGTGTCCGTTCGTGTTTGATGATTGCATGAACATGACTAAAATTTGACTTGGAGTGGCTGAAGTTCGTAAGTCTGGTGGATGACGCAGGCCGTAGCCGCGTGAACGAAAATGGATGAGAAATTGTAGTGCACATGGTGTCGGCTAAGGTTGCAGGTGGGACAGGAGTTGTTACGCGGTTTGAGTGTTTGTGACGCATGATCTGATGAGTGACGGCTGCAGCGCCACGCCAATAAGCTCGGACAAAACCAGACCAGATGTGCAGCACATTCATTTAAAAATGGAGCAAGGGGCGGTCTGGTACAGCACATAATAAGCGACAGATTCAGCTGGGTCACCCGTTAAAACAAAATCGATTGGGAAATGAGGGTGCAATTCGAATTTTGTGCAATTTGGGTTCAACTAGGACGCAAGGTTTTCGGAAACTCGGAGAGTACGTCAATCTAGTGAGCTCCAAGAAGGACGAAACCGGTTGTGGGCTGTCGAAGAGTCTTCAGCGACCTCACGAGTAGTGTGTTGGGTCTGTAAGGGGGGATTCGCCTTATACCTTATACTTTTGTCGTGTTCTGAATGATGGATTTTCGTACAGTTTGATCAACCCAACTCATAGTAGTTTTACTGTCTGCCAGCTTTGCCTTGGCTAGTTACGGCAATGCTTTGCCATCATCCCACACTGAGTGCAACCACTGTTCCGGAAGCCCCCCTCCCTAAAAGTTCGACATTTGGAAGCTAAGATATAGAAGTATCTTCATTTCAATGGCAAAACAACTTTAGACTAGACGGCATCCTCTACGCGTGCGCATTCCTTGTTGCAGGGAGTTGCGTCGACTTCGCATTTGAACCTGGATTTTTTTAACAAAAACCCGGACAGTACTAGTTATCCGATGCATTCAGCTAGTGGGGTCCCAAAAAATGAGTAAGGTCACTAAAATTGTGGGATAATTTTTTTATCAGGAAGGTCAGATTCCTGAAAGTAACCTCAGAACGCCCGGAACCTCCTGCTCCACCAAAATCTCGACAGGAAAGCCGGCAAGCATCCAGGCCAGTCAATCATTCAATCAATTCACCAAAGCTGATGAGTGTTCTTGCACGCCACACAAGCACAACCGAATGTGATCAGCGTTCAGGCTTTTCATAGAGGCATGATCGATGTTGATGGGTGTTCATTAACGCCTATCAGACAGCCCGGATCAATGTCACAAAGTTCCGTTTAAATAGCGTGGGGCCGTTGTAAATTTGGCTCTCGCGCTCGTTTGTTCGGAATATAGCGGTTGTGTTCCCTTCTGTGAGTCTTTTTTTCTCCGGCATTAGGCACTGGAGTGGGCCAGCAGCAGATACCACAGATTGACGAATCAGCAGATATAACAGATTGGTGGCGCCCGAAACCACTGGAACATGACAATAACCGCTGGAGCGTTGCAAGAAATTCTGCTGCAACAACAAAATCAGCTTGAAGCGGCACAATTACGTTTGGTTGAAACATCGACGCAGCGACTTAAAGTTCAACCACCGAATTCCGCCACAGATACAAATTCAGTCGACTCGATCACCAACAGCATCACGGAGTTCCATTATAACTCTGATGCTGGCCTAACCTTCGATTCCTGGTTCAGACGTTGGGAAGATGTTTTCCAATTCGAACTGAAGCACAAAGATGATGCCTAGAGAGTACGCTTATTGCTCAGAAAGCTTGGCACAACGGAACACAGACGGTATTCCAACTTTATCCTGTATAAGAACACGCGAGATCTCAGTTTTGACAAAACCGTGCAGCAATTTTCAATGATTTTCGGTGAGCGTTCGTCCTTGTTTAATATTCGCTACCAAAGTATGAAACTGGCGAAAAAGGAATCTGAGGACTACATCACTTATGCTGGTAGAGTCAACCTTGAATGCGAACAATTCAAGTTATCTACCATAACGGAAGACCAGTTCAAGTGCCTTATTTTCAGATGTGGTCTTCAATCGCATTCAGACAGTGACATCAGGGCGAGAATATTGAGCAAGATTGAACAAACTTCCGAGATAACGCTGCAGTCAATTACCCATGAGTGCCATCGCCTTTTAAATCTTAAGCATGACACGACCATGTTGGAGAAGCCCTTATCCAACCCTGCTTTCAACATTACCAAGACGACATCGAAGCAACCTCCTGTGGTGACAAAGTCGAATAGAGCAAAGCCTCCTTCAGCATGCTGGCAATGCGGCGAATGGCATTTTGTGCGATTGTATCCGTATAAAAAGCACAAATGTTCAGTGTGCAATCGACGTGGACACAAGGAAAGCCAGTGCCGGACGCGGAAAGCTAGCCAAAGACGTAGTCAGACCCGGAGGTCACGAAGTAAACGGAGCCAATCAGGACCGGAAGTCCGTGCTGTGGTGTTGGATACCATGAACCAACTACCCGTGACTTTTGATGCGGTGCGAGATGCCACTAAAATGACAGCATATTAGAAAAGGCAATGGAGTACCACCAATCAAGCTGGCCAACAATCAGTCCACTAGGGGAACTCCGGAAACTTTTTCAGCGACGGAGTTCATTATCTGTTGTCAATGGCTGTCTTCTCTTTGGTGACCGCATTATCATTCCCACCGAACTTCGTCAACATGTCCTAGCACAATTCCACAATGGACATCCAGAGATAAGCCGCATGAAGGCCCTTGCTCGCAGCCATATCTACTGGCCCGGTATGGATGAACACATGGGACAGTTATGTCGGGGTTGTTTCCGTTGTGCAGCTGCCCGGAAGTTACCCAATCGACAGTCACCTCAGCCTTGGTCACAGCCAGAAAAACCATGGTCGCGCATCCATGTGGATTTCGCCGGACCAATTAACGGACAAAGCTTCCTCATCGTTGTCGATGCATTCAGTAAGTGGCCTGAAGTCTTTATTATGACGGAGACAACAACGATGGCAACCATCACTAAACTGTGACATTTGTTTTCAATATTCGGTACCCCGGAAACTATTGTGTCCGACAATGGTACTCAGTTTACATCCCATCAGTTTAGCGAATTCGTTCGAAGACACGGCATCACACATGTTAATTCTCCGCCATCCCATTACCAATCAAACGGTCAGGCTGAACGGTTCGTTGACACGTTTAAACGTGCGTTGACAAAAGCAGAAGGGGAGGAGACCGCGACAGAAGTGCTGGCTACGTTCCTCCTGCTGGACTATAGAGCAACCCCTAATCCACAGTCTCCGGACGGTCGCTCTCCAGCAGCAGTTATGATGAACAGACGGTTGAGACTTACCCATGACGCTATCCTACCGACACTTACTTGTTTTCAATCACCGACAGCCGGAAAGCCAACATTCCGGCCTGGCAACCGTGTGCTTGTCAGGGACTATCGCCCTAGGTACCGAAGATGGACAGTTGGAGTCGTCCTTGAAAGAACCGCTCAGGTGATTTACCGCATCCAGGTGGGATCATTGATATGGAAACGACATGTCAATCAATTACGGCCGACGGAGTGTCAGATCCCAAAGGGGGAAGAACAGTTACTAGACCTCAACCTACTGTTTGAACCCTTTGATCTCCCAAGACCAGCACCTATAGCCATTGCCTCACACGTACCGCCCAAGACAGACCCATTGCTGCAAACGAGACGCCATACCGGTCGCAGCAAAAAAAGGGGTGGAATCCACACAACTTGATCCGCGTCGAAAATCTTACGTTGAACAGCCAAAAGGGGGAGGCACCAGGAAGGTCACATTCCTGAAAGAAACCTCAGAATGCCCGAAACCTATTGCTCCAACAAAATCTCAACAGGAAAGCCGGCAAGCATCCAGACCAGTCAATCATTCAATCACTTCAGCTAAAGCTGATGAGTGTTCATGCACACCATAGAAGCACGACGGAATGCGATCTGCATTCAGGCATTTTATAGAGGCACGATCGATGTTGATGGGTGTTCACTAACGTCTATCAGACAGCCTGGATCAATGTCAGCAAGTCCCCTTTAAATAGCATGGGGCCGTTGTAACTTTTGCTCTCGCACCCATTCACTCGTTTGTTCGGAATACAGCTGCTGTGTTCCCTTCTGTGAGCCTAGACACTGGAGTTGGTCAGCAGCGATCAATGTCAGAAAGTCCCGTTTAAATAGCGTGGGGCTGTTGTGACTTTTGCTCTCGCACTCGCACCCACTCATGCTCTCGCAGCCGCTTGTTCGGTATATAACTGTTGTGTTCCCTTCTGTGAGTCTTTTTTTCTCCGGCATTAGGCACTGGAGCGGGTTAGCAGCAGATACCAAAGATTGGCGAATCAGCAGATATAACAGACTTTATGTTCAATATTGGTGCAGTTGAAGGGTCACCTTCCGGTTGCTAAAACTAGGGACTGTGTATACAAGATAAAACGTAGAGACTGCGCAAACGTTTAGTTAGGTCAGACAGTCACAAAGTTGCACACCATAATCGGTGATCATAACTGATGCACAAACGGGCCACCCAGAAACCCAGATGAATATCAGGCGATAGTCAAGGATTCGGCAATAGTTAGGACGATGACCAAATCTCTGAGCATCCCAGTGTGAATGTAATAGAGGGTATGGAACTGGCAAGTGTGTGGAGAGCGGTTTTAGATCAGCCTAGATGACCCAAGTGGTTGGAGCGCGAAACGACTGACCGAAATGTCAGTGGTTCGAACCCGACCTCCGCCTCTCGACTTCCCCCGTCTAGGCTTGGGCAACCTGGCAGTATCTCAGCCCTCGTGCTTCCTTCGGGTAGCATGGCAGCTAAGCACCGGAAAGGCGTTACAGCCGAACGAAATGACACGAGACAGTATGCAGTTATGAGTGGGAAAATATGGGTCTAAAAGTACAAACCCCGAGCGCAATAAGATGTCCTATACAAGAAAAGCAATGCCCCAAAATCCTTATTCAACTTCACATCTCCGTCTTGGTCATCTACACGAGCCAACAAACGGAAACTTCTGATTGCCACCGATCAGTCGTGAAAAATCCCAACAATCGCTTCTTTGACGCCTTAAAACTCGGTCACTCGGGTAACTTTTTTATTTGGCCTGGGGAAGCCTTTGCGTCAGTCATATAGTACTCTTCGACTCGTTGGTATTGCTTGGCTTTACTCAAACGGCGAACTGTTTAGTTGGAAGATCTCATCAAAATACCAGAGGAATGTCGGTCCGTGCAGAAGAATATCGATGAATGACGCTCTGTTGATAACAGTTTGGTGGTTCTCTACTTTTCCAATTAAATGCTCATGGTCACATCCGAGCTGGTACCAATGTGTGAATTTAGCGTACTTCTCTAACGAATTCGCTGCGAACAGAAATGAGATATTTAAAAGAACTTTTGTCACAAAAGTTCCTCAAAAAATGCTCACATGAAACACATATAATCATTTGAAAAGGGTTAAAGTGAGTAACTAAACGATTGTGGGCACGTGATCACACACAGTGAGGTAGAACGAGTGCTCAGTTTGTTATCTCTCATAGACTGCCACCGATGGGCAAACATTGTTGTTTTCAAGTTCCTCAGAGGTGGTCTTTACGGCGAAGACTCTGATTAGGTATTAATTATCAGATAGTCTTTCTCCAGAAAGCATTTTATACTACAGCATAGAATTCAACCTCCACTTAATACCGCAAATATTGATGTTTTTAAGGTAGAAAAGAGTTAAACAATCAGTTACAAAGTACCGTGTTGTTAACAAATGAATGTGTTGTATCAAGGTCAACTCATTTTTCAATCGGAAGGATATCCAAAATATCGATGCACTTTTTTGATAAGATACTACTTATATGATAGGTGGAACCGGTTTTCATTTGTGCTGGAGTAGGAGAATGCTTCGATAACTGGAATACCAATCAAACAGAGGTGTGAGGCAAATTGTGTGCAACATGTCAAGCCGAAAAATACTGCAAACGGGAAATTCAGATGGCTATCTTGTCTAAACAACTTTTAACTGAGCAAGATGCACTCATTAGCATACCAATTTGGTTCTGACGGGAGACTCATATGAAGCTCAGTTGAATCTCCCGTTTACGATGTTTTAAGGTTGACGGAAACTCGGGGATTGTGCCTACCTGATGAGCCTCAAGTAGGGCGGGACCGGTCATGGGCTGTGGGATTTTTCAGCAACCTTGTGAGTAGTATCCTCTATGAATATCCTACTAACCGGAACATAAGGCGACCTTTGTGCGGCCCATTCAGTTGGAGAATATCATAAACGAGAGGTTCAGTTGAGTCTACCGTGAAAACCAAATTGATTTGCAGATGAGTGTATCTGTCGAAATCAGCCTATTTTGGAACATAAGGTTGACGGAAACTAGGGGACTGTGCCTAACTGATGAACCTCAGGGAGGGCGAAACCGGTTGTGGGCTGTCGAAGAGTTTTTAGCAACCTTGTGAGTAATGTATTACGTCTAAACTTGTAACTGAGCCTAATTCAAGGTTCTGGTAGGAATTAAGATTGATGATCCCGAAGGAGAGTGAAACGGATGAGAGCTATCCGAAAGTCTTCATCGCCCTTATGAGTAGTATCATATCCAGGAATAGTCTAGTGTTGTTTGTCTAGACACTCGAGATGGTGCGTGAAATAACAAGCGGCACTCACAGTGACTGTCTCTTTTCCGCGACTCTGCTCGTTAACCGAGCATAAAGGAACAGGGCTCGCGTTCACGAGATGATCTGGAGGTAGTTGGCAAGATAAAAACCAGACAGTAACTGACAAACTACCAATATCAGCGAGTTTTTATTACCTTGCCATCAACTTGCCTGATTACACATAAGTTACTCCCCCCCACAAATCCCCTTTGTAAATCTTGGTTCGTAAGCATGCTTCTTGTTTTCCACAGTCCAAAAGAAATCCAAGTATTATCACCATCATCCTGCATGGTCAGCTTTAACGAATTCAGCAATGCTGAACTGTGACACAGTATGTCCCGTAACGGAATCCCGGTCTTGAAAGTGACCCGGTTTTGTCTGTTTGATCACTGACATCTAACGTCAACAAATCAAGACAAACAAAACAGCATCGCTGGACGTGTTGCTGTGCTCAAAGCGTTTGTAACCCATACACTTGTCAATCTCGCGCGAACTGCCTGGTTGCCCGCAATTCGACGTGACAGGTTGTTCGGGGGCCAACCGTCCCTAACAGCCGAACAGCACATCATTTGGACGGATGTGTCACGTGCAGGACATGGGCCAAACGAAGGCATGCCCTGATTGGTCAGAATGCCAGCGAATCCGAATCAAGCACCTGTGACTAGACGCTTCTCGCCCCCTCACGGAAATTCTGGCACGACCTTGTGGAACACTCTGTGACTACCCTATAAATACAGTTGTAATAATCTTCCTTTGTCTACATGCAGGGCTGCGTAGAGCTACCGTGCCTTTTGATATACCATAGTGGGCGGAGCAGGAAGCCAAGGGACCGATACAGAGTTGCCCGACCGTCCATCAAGACACAACACAGATTTGGCGACGATTGGTGCATCAGGCAAACTATCCTCCACGTCAGTAAGTACATTCAACTTACCACAAGGGGGGTCGCAGGGCATCCGAGGCGCCAAAGTAGACAACCTGTGTGAACTGAACCAGCGGTAACCGACAACCAGCTGGACGCTCGGATAACTACGGTTAGCAAGCTCCACCTGGCATCGGAGACGGCAACTTCACCGAACCGCAGGACATGTCTGCTCGGGCACGCCTGCAAACGACGGGGAAAATAAACTAGCTATAAAACGACACCTTCATTTTGGTAAGTTGCGACCTGTTTCGAAGCTGGAAGAGCTCCGGCTAGATAGGATGTCCGAGCAATCATAGCTAGGGGCAATCTCATTACAGGCGACACCAGGCACATACCAAGGCACACCGCGTGAGCTTGTCGACAGTTTCAGTGGGGCGCGATGGCACAACGCGCCTCCGCAGTAAGCTGGGGTGCATCGCAAAGCAGGTTATCCAGACGAAGAGAAGGAGAACTTTCGGAGGAACTTCCAGGGCATCCTTGAAGAACGTAGCTCACGGCAAACCGTCACAAGTGATCGACACCCTAGGGTGATTCACATCCAATCTGTTCACTCAGGTAGTTTGGCAACAAGCACGTGCATTGTTCCCTCTTAGAGTTGGATGTTGGTACTCCCCGCTCCCCGTTTCATAGAAATAAGTCAGTTATCCTGACCAAAGATGACATATGCACGTTCGGTTCGAGTTCAGAGCACCACCCAGCACGACTTTTTCACATGAGCAAGTGAGATGGTGGAAATCAGATCACTAACTGTTGGAAACAAGATGTCTAGCCAAGAATGGGAATGCTATGACTTCTGTTAACTTGAAGACTGCAAGCTGGTGGGATCAGCGATTCACTAATTCGTCAACACCATCCACACTATTCATCTCAAAGTCCACATCTGCGCAAAAAAGACCATTTATACACGAGATGAATTACCTCATCCTACTAAAGGAATACAAACCCGACTGCCCAAGTACATTCTTCATGATGGCACAATACCCTCCCCGAATATGGCAACGCAGCTCGCGACTTTGATAATACTTGACAAAGCGAATAAGATAGCCCTTTCCGTGGTTCGCCTTGTAACGAAATCACTCTGTCTAATTCGAATGACACGCGCGTGGACTCTAAAATTGTTCCTTTGTAGATGCCGGTTTTTTTTTTTCATTCAGCTGTAGCACCCTGCAGGTGCCTAACTGCCATGCTACCCGAAGGAAGCACGAGGGCTGGGATACTGTGAGGTTGCCCAAGCCTCCTAGACAGGGGAAGTCGAGAGCCAGGGGTCGGGTTCGAACCACGGACCCTCCGGTCAGTAAATTCGCGATCTAAGCACTTGGGCCATCTCGCCCGTAGATGCTGGAAACAGGTCGAACGATGTAGGACCATTCCGTGGATAATTCCATCGTTCTCCATGATTCAGGAACTTGAACTGTGCCGATAACTCCGCCCCCTGCATCAAAATCATTCTGTTCCCTCCGCATCCTAGTGCAGAAGGAAATCTGAGTAGCAGAGTGATGAAGAAGAGCCCCTCACAGAGTATGACGCGCTTGCACAATCTCCCCAACACGTTTAAAAAAAGGCGTTAAAAAATTCATGTGCCAACAGTCTGTTTGTGTGCACTTGAGATAAACAAGCAAATTCGTATGTACGCATAAGCGGCAATTGTTCGATAAAGAAATGCTTAGATACAAAAACCCGCGGTGGATTGGACGAACCAAGATCCTATAAGATCCCATGGCCGCCTTCCCTCTCACTTGAACGCACACACAAAAAAAGGAAAAATGACACACAAGAAGGGGAAGAGCTTGATTCAACCATGCGCGGGTGACCGTAGTCCCGTAACAGCACACGCACATAAAGTGTTCACGTCCAAACGTGCCTACTACTGACACGCAAATTAGTAGTGTGGTGGGTGTGTGGAATAAGATCGGACGTGCATCCGACGCAGTGCAGAACGCATAAACGTACATCAGAAACAAACGAATCGACGCCGGTAATCACACGCGTCACACTGAATCCATAGAGTGTATGATTACAAAGTGATAAAAGTCTCTGAATATTCGTAGGAGCGGAATCGTATCGTAGATAGCGGAGACTGGTTCCAAGACAGAGAGAGAGGCAGGAGTAGACACGAACAAGTCATGGGCGGATCGAAAAGTCACAACCGTTCTTACAACATTCAAGTGTGGACACTAATCCAGGGAGTCAGGTGTTGCCGCGACGTTGAAAACGCCAAGCAGACAAGCCACGAAAGGAACAGTCAAGTGAGAGGCGGCGATTGAAAAAATAAGACTTATTTTTGAAGACCAGCAGGGTAAATGGACATGGTGGATAATTGACAACAAGATGCAGCGGCGGCGGCACGCGGAAGAGAAGGCAAACACAGAGAAAAAGTACATAAAAAATGAACAATTGATGAAGATGAGGAGAGACATGGTGCGCGATGAACACAACGTAACAATGTGAGGGACGTAAGTGTCTAGGCTGGGGGGGGGCGGCAATCCATTAACGAAGAATCAATCTCCGGGCGGGGACACGGTTGAACCACAGCACTACTACTCATGGAGTTCAGCAGCAATTTTCCTCCTGTAAAAGAAGAGGGGTGATATATAACACATTAAACACCGGGCGATAGGAACCAGAACAGAGCAAGTCACTGCGCTTGGGGGTGTGGGTACCTCAGAAAGCTTGACATAGGCCAGAACTGGGCCCTCTCCCTCACCTAAAGGCAAACACAGAGAAAAAGTACATAAAAAATGAACAATTGATGAAGATGAGGAGAGACATGGTGCGCGATGAACACAACGTAACAATGTGAGGGACGTAAGTGTCTAGGCTGGGGGGGGGCGGCAATCCATTAACGAAGAATCAATCTCCGGGCGGGGGACACGGTTGAACCACAGCACTACTACTCATGGAGTTCAGCAGCAATTTTCCTCCTGTAAAAGAAGAGGGGTGATATATAACACATTAAACACCGGGCGATAGGAACCAGAACAGAGCCAAGTCACTGGCTTGGAGGTGTGAGTACCTCAGAAAGCTTGACATAGGCCAGAACTGGGCCCTCTCCCTCACCTAACCTTTCCCCCTTCTTTTCATTTTAGGGCTTTAAATGAAATTAGACGAACCTCATGGTTGTACGGCAGTGAAGCACCAGTGTCAGCACTCATGTTTGAGCCAAAACTGTCAGGGTCAGGGGCACTCATAGGCCAGGTTGCTTGTATCAACAAACAGTTATAAAGTCATCCCGAGTCCACCTGAGAATGCTCGTGTGGCGCTTCCCCTAGTCTTTTCCTGGCAAGGGGAAAATATTCCGTCAAAGAGTGCGTACTATGCAAATTAGTCAGTAGTTACGAAAAAGAAGTTTCCGACATTTTGACGGGCCCGTGCGGCCTAAACGGGTGAGAGACGACACCTTCACTTCGATCTGTGAAACCCTTCAGAAATATGCGCAGTATGCAATCCTCAGAACAGCCACTGATGAGTTGGATAGTCCACTTCTAGGTACCGTGCAGCGTCGTACGGGTTCCAGTTGACACCACAGCAGATAGTCGTTTAATGAGACCGTTTAGATAGGAACTTAGATTCACAACGGCGTGGACCGGTCTGGTGACCCCAAGGGTGCTTTACAAGGTCGTGGTGCAAGGTCGAGAGGAAGCCAAGGGTCACGCGAACAGATTTGCGCCCACAGATCACGGACAAAGACTCCATCGGGACTCGAGAGCTGTGAAATGCACCGCTGACGGGCAAGACTGCACTTCCAGAAAGTGCTTTCGACCGCTAATGCCAGCCATCACAACGTTAGAGAACGCTAAACTCAAGTATCATTGTACGGGTCACAGGCCTTTGCGTGTTGGCCTGAACGAAACCCAGGCAACCGAGGAAATGACATCCAAGGAACTTTGTCTGGAATCCGCAACTGGTGTAACTGGTTTAGTCCCAAACAGGAGATACCGGTCGGAAAGGATAGCAAGTGAACTAGTTAACACTTAATTAAACGAGAATGATAAGCGAATACTAACATTTTCGACCGGTCCGTCCGGAACAATTATTATCCCATTACTCGGATCTGTGCGAGTTCCGCCCGTCGCTCCAGTAGTGGCTTGTTTCTTACACGGTGGAGGTGAGGTGGAGTTGTTGCCTTCTTGGACAGGTTGTGTTCCGTTGAGTAAATCGCCCGTCTCCCGTTTCGTACCGGACGCCCCAGTGCCGTTGAGTTCATTCCCACCACTGGGGGAACGGAGTCGCTTGCCCGCTGCCGGAATCGGTCCATTCAGTTGGCTCGCTGACCCGAGGGCGTGACTGAAATCGATTCGTCGTAGCGGGATGCCTTTACGTTCGGCCAAGTTATTTATTACACAGTCAAGTGGGGCGATTCGGCGTGGCCTGACCAGCAACACCGTTGGGTCGGGTAGGCGAGAGAGGAGAGGTTCAACTGTGGGGAAAGAAACATAAATAAACCAACTGTTCAAAGCAAAACACGAAGCAGCGCGACCTGGTACGATGGTGACTGCAGGAGAATGCAACAGCGAATATGAAAACTGGACAGAGATGGAAAGCCTAGAACAGATGTTAGTGGTACAAGATGAGAAGATGAGGTTGTAACGGGATTTACATTGATGGACTTTCTTAGCGTACGCTGGCCAGAGAAACTATTCATTCTGTCCCACTGAAGAAAAGGGAAAAACGAGCAATTTATTCTGCACCCCAATCGTCTGTCGCCTGGTAAGGACTGCACCACCTGAGGTCAAATCTGCGCAGATGACGGACTAAATTCGGTTCCAGTGATGAGCCGTGCCAAGAGTCGCGTGGAAATCAGGCTGTCCCATTTCCAGTGTGGGGCCAGATCATCAGTTCGCCTGATAAGGTGAACGTGGCCGTTCCTACAAAAGGGAGGGACGATGCTGCCAGAGAAAAAATGAAAAAAGAACAATATTGCTTTCACGTACCGGCTGTCCGCAGCGCCGCAAACGACAAACTGTCTGTGACCGCATCGCCTGATCCAGATATGCTGGAGGGACCTCCTGTTGCTGTGGTTTCTGCCGGCTTACCAGGGCGTCGAGCGAGAAGAATAGGGCGCACGAGTTCAGGGCAAAGCACACGTGCCAATCGGATAACTGACGGGGTTCTGAAGCACAGGGTACCACGAGGACCACTGACTAGCGCGGCGGGGGCGCCGCTCCCTTCGGCATAGCGCATCGCTGACTGTGATGGAACGGATGTCTGCAATCAAGGAAGGGTCAAAAAAGCTGTTAGCAGTGTTACGGACTGAACTACAGTCAATACTCATAAAACCTACTGCTCATGCCAGATCAAGGGGAGCAGCTGGATGCCCATGAAAATAAACCAGGGACCGACGGAGAGCCCACGTGACCAACTAGAAAGCTTGCGCATACTTACAAGGACGAAGAGGTAGAAGACATACGCGGTTTATGACAGAGGCGTGCCTGGGTATGTGACCGCATGCAGGTGGTGAACGTGAATCAATGTATCGGTGAGTGCGCGTAATTAAAGGATGCGCGCCCGTGCTCGTGACATGTGCGTGTGTTCGCGCGCGCGCCGTTTCGGATGACCCCCTGCAGAGAACGAGCGTGGACAACGGCAACGAGACGACAAACAACATGAAGAAGCACACACAGTTGACCCGCTTCACGACGTGGGTGCGTGCGTGCGTGCGCGCGCGCTTGTGTCATGTCGGCAGAGGCAGAAACCGCGTCAAGAGCGGTCGATAAGATCAGACAGAGCGAGGGTTGCAAATCAATGATGGATGGATGAATGGTGTGCGCAATCGATCGGTGATCAGTCGCCCTGTTAATAATCTACTTGCGCGCCTGATATGATCACGTATAAGCATGCATGCTGGGTAGTGTCACTGGGTAGTGCCACAGAAGGATATCCGTACCATCTGCAGCCGCAATACAAAAGTTCCCTTCGGGTGCCCATGAAAACCCCGAGGCTCAGACGGGAAGACTTTCGGTGGGCCGCTGTGTCGAAGCATTGAGACTGCGCAGGAAGTGAGTATCATCCAGTTCAGTGCCACGTATAATCTTGAGTGGTCTTGCTGTGTCAGCTGACAGACGTGGGAAGAGATTGCACGCGCACACATGTTCCCCCGGCCTAGGGAGAACAACAGTGACTCAACCACAAACCATGGTGCGAGAGTAGGCCGCAAGTAGTTCTTGATCAGGTGGGCTCCTGTTCGGCCTAGCATACTTGAATTTCCAAAACACGCTGACCAAGATTCATTCGGGGAGTGTGATCAAATTCCACTTGTTGCATGCTAAGGGGACCGAGAGTTTATTGATCCCGTTGATGATTAGCTCAGCGGTACTCTTCACACAGATCGGCGAGTATGGATCATCGTAGTCAGTGTTGAATGGATGAATCACTCGTCCAGAGAGTAACCGGAATACGTTGCCGTTGTATTGCAAAGAGACTTGCCTTTGGAGCAGTATAGTTCAATCTGGGTAGAGGTCCGATAAAACCACATACACGGTTTATGACAGAGGCGTGCCTGGGTATGTGACCGCATGCAGGTGGTGAACGTGAATCAATGTATCGGTGAGTGCGCGTAATTAAAGGATGCGCGCCCGTGCTCGTGACATGTGTGTGTGTGTGCGCGCGCGCGTTTCGGATGACCGCCTGCAGAGAACGAGCGTGGACAACGGCAACGAGACGACAAACAACATGAAGAAGCACACACAGTTGACCCGCTTCACGACGTGGGTGCGTGCGCGCGCGCGCTTGTGTCATGTCGGCAGAGGCAGAAACCGCGTCAAGAGCGGTCGATAAGATCAGACAGAGCGAGGGTTGCAAATCAATGATGGATGGATGAATGGTGTGCGCAATCGATCGGTGATCAGTCGCCCTGTTAATAATCTACTTGCGCGCCTGATATGATCACGTATAAGCATGCATGCTGGGTGGTGTCACTGGGTAGTGCCACAGAAGGATATCCGTACCATCTGCAGCCGCAATACAAAAGTTCCCTTCGGGTGCCCATGAAAACCCCGAGGCTCAGACGGGAAGACTTTCGGTGGGCCGCTGTGTCGAAGCATTGAGACTGCGCAGGAAGTGAGTATCATCCAGTTCAGTGCCACGTATAATCTTGAGTGGTCTTGCTGTGTCAGTTGACAGACGTGGGAAGAGATTGCACGCGCACACATGTTCCCCCGGCCTAGGGAGAACAACAGTGACTCAACCACAAACCATGGTGCGAGAGTAGGCCGCAAGTAGTTCTTGATCAGGTGGGCTCCTGTTCGGCCTAGCATACTTGAATTTCCAAAACACGCTGACCAAGATTCATTCGGGGAGTGTGATCAAATTCCACTTGTTGCATGCTAAGGGGACCGAGAGTTTATTGATCCCGTTGATGATTAGCTCTGCGGTACTCTTCACACAGATCGGCGAGTATGGATCATCGTAGTCAGTGTTGAATGGATGAATCACTCGTCCAGAGAGTAACCGGAATACGTTGCCGTTGTATTGCAAAGAGACTTGCCTTTGGAGCAGTATAGTTCAATCTGGGTAGAGGTCCGATAAAACCAACGAGTGACGGCCAAATTTATTTGGCGAAGCGAAGTGGGGGTCGTGAAAGGCCATACGAAGGCCCCGAGGACAAACATCAAATCAGTGAAGGACTCTATTTTCAGTTGATAAATAGATAAATCATCCAGCTGCAGCACCCTTTTGGTGCCTAACTGTCATGCCATACGAAGGTAGCACCCAAGAGCTAGGATACTGCCAGGTTGCCCAAACCTAGACAGGGGAAGTCGAGATGAAGAGGTTGGGTTCGAACCACGGACCTTCCGGTCAGTAAATTCACGCTCTAACCACTGAGCCACCTTGGCTGACTCACCGCATAAATAATAGAGAATAAGATGAACCAGGAATGAATGTGGGGCCCTCGCCCACAATTTTCAGTTGAGAATGGGGTGTGTCAGATGAGCGCCCTTTAGCATTCGAAGGGTATATGGTGGTGGGATGGGTCACTCGGCTGACTCACCGCATAAACAATATAGAATAAGATGAACCAGGAATGAATGTGGGGGTCACTGATCGAGAAAAAAGGGCAAGCTAGACAGCCCTCGATGGTTTGCAAATTCCCACGGCATGAAAAAGTCATTCAAAATAGCCGAGATCGCAGGGTTATGGGTTGTTAAGGGTCTATTTCTGCGAGAGACAAGTGACGCTCAGTGAATTTCGATTTCTATTGTCCTAAATCGAACGGCGACATAAAAACAGATAATGTATCGCGCGGTATGCGTGGATAAGGCGATCAAGAGTGGGGATATAACGTACTTGAGAGAACGACATTTCTATCGGTAGAAAATACAGGCAGATTCACTTGAAAGTCCCCGTATCGCTGAATTCAGACGGTTCAGAGATTGGGCTCGAGGCAAAGGGTAAATAACAACCTTACGGTATTGAATTATCAATATATACATCGTGTAGAAGGCGATTTCACCGGGGACACACGCAAAAGGACAGGGAACAATGACTCACTGAGGATGTAGAACCAACAGGACCGTCCGCAATCACCATGGATTTGGAATCGGTCTCGCTTGTGGAACCCGAGGTTTGGGACGATGTTCGCGATGCCGCCTGTCGCTCTATATGCGGTAAAATAAAGATAAAGGGAGGGGATCTTGCGCTTAGTAGACGTGACAGGTGTAAGATTTAGTCTTAGTGGGAGTCGCCTGATAACGAACGAGTGGAGAAAAAACAGAAAGAAAAGTGGTGGCGTTCCAACCAGAAACACTCTCCTAGGGAACCAGTAAAGACGACTTGATCACGGGGGGTTTGACACGTCTTTCCTACCAAATAATGGTAAAGGTCCATTATGGAACTCGACCGTCTGGAGGATGAAGAGACGCTTTGCCAAATGCCAAAAGCACTTTTTTTCATGCGGAGAATTCCCGTTTCTCGAACACGGCCATGTATGAAACGCCATCATCTTGAATGTTACCACCACTATATCTGGGGTCAATCAAGTAGTCATGTCTGAACCTGATAACCATAATAATAATAATAATAATTAGTAGTAATAATCTGTCAGCTGTAGCTCACCCCCGTCCACTTATACATGAATTCGGGGCGCCTGAATTAGCCGCTGTGAACGGTTGTTCTGTTAGTCCTTTCACTGATCGGACCTCAAATGAGATTGGTGATTCAGATTACTCATGTGTAGTTGTGACACCCTTTCGGTGCCTAACTCCCATGCCACTCGAAGGAAGCACGAGGGATGGGATACCCGAGCCTAGACAGGAGAAGTCGAGAGACGCAGAGGTCGGGTTCGAACAACGGACTTTCCGGTCAGTAAACTCACGGGCTCTAACCACTGAGCCATCTCGCCCTCAATGTCTGAACTTCAACGACCTAGTTCTCACCATTCCAAAAACTCCAACCTGATCTATCAAGTGAGAAGAGACAAACGTCTTGGGTGTCATCCGTTGCACTGTTACGATTCCCGTAGAATCGGTTCCCATGGAGGATACCTTCTTTTAACGAAATGTTGTATTTCTCGTGACCACCCACAACTGTCGACTGCGAGCTAATGGTGATGAATTTTCCACAACTCTGCTCAGCTGACCCAAGTCCCAGTTGTTGCCATGGCCACCCTAAGCAGTCAACAGTAGTTACCTACACTGTGAGGACTCCTTTAATTGGGTCCTTCGAACCACATTCCAACCACAGAGGAGATCAACCCTCAGAACAGTCAGTCTATTGAAGTGAATTCCATCATTGATTGTTACCCTGAATTAGCCTCTGCACAGGAATATCACAACCGAAAGCATCAAAGTCCCTATATCCACAGGACAGTGCATCTCAGTTTTGAGTGCAACTCAACTACTTATGAGTCGACCTTTGGAACAGCGTACTCACGTGCAAGGTCTTTTGCCTAGAGTCGAAATATCGAAACCAGAGGTAAAGGTTTCCTCAATCCGCTAAGGCTGTTTGTTATTGGACTGGGACTTCCTAAGGTCGCAGTCAGTGATTTGTGTTTGCTTGCCATTGTGGGCTCTCTGCGTACTTATGACACTTTTATGCGTGGCACATGGCGTTGAATGTACATTTTTGCCATTTAATCTCACACCAGACCCTGTATGACGGACACTTTGTGGCTGATGTGCGAGTCTTGACTGTGCTAGCGCCTACCGCGCCTTGAAGAGCATTCAAAATCGTATGTCCTTTCTTCGGTTGTTGGTCTTTGCACACGTGTTTCCATACCGAAAATCCTAACATACGTTGGGATTCATTTCATCTGACTGGAACTGTTGGTGGCATAGCTTTGAATGAGACATTTCTCTCTCTCTCTTATATTCTCCTGTAACCCTTTCACTTTCATCGCTTGCATTCACTTTTCATGTCTCTGACCATGCTCTTCAAAAACAAACGAGAGTACAGGTCTGAATGTGGCCAAAAATATCGGCACCCTCAGAGGTGAGCAAAGCTGCATTGCTTCCCAAGCAGTCAGCAACCGCACTGAAAGTAGCGAGAAAATCACTCGTGGGACTAGCAATATGATCCAGAGCAAGTCAAGATGAATGCACACGTACGATGGGTTACATGGTAAAGCCATATTTGGTTGACTTTGATGAACAGTGCGGTAAAAGGATCCCCTTCCAAAATCGGCTGCTGAGCGCGTTAAGCAGCTGTGGACTGACAGGTGAACAAAGAGTCGAAAGATACCTTTCCGTTGCCCGGGTACACAGAAGTTCAGTCGCCTAAACCGAAAGGTGACGGTTGGTAGACTCTGTCAAGACTTAACGATGGTATTGTCTGATACGCTTAGCAGTCAAGAGATCGTACTCTCGAAGCTGGTACGCAGCCACATCAGGCTTTCGGATGGAACATCACCGGTATGAAAATGCATGCTGCCCGAAAGGAAGAACCCAGTAGATTTACAGGATAGCTGTTTTAACACTAAAACCCCTGGACTGTATCCGAGGGGGGTGTGATCCGGCTAAAACTATGCCTAAAGTTGGGTGCTATATTCGAGCCTAGGTTTGGCAAGTTGGACAAAGGTATGCAACCATTCGGTCTGCATTTTTCATGTGCTTCTAAAATCAGTAGTACACCCGGTAATACACAATTTCTTAATCGCCACTCGCCATGACCGGATGCATCTAGACCGTAACACCGAATCAGCTGAGCGTGAGGCAAAGCCACGCTCAGTCACACCCGGATAACGCGTCGGCCCGTTGGTACGCCATTGCCAAGGCGACAGGCGGACGGCGGCTTGGCGAACGCACGCACCAATCGATACCTTATGGACTAAAGGGAGAGCAAAACGTAGCAGAAGCGGTGACTCAGCATTGGACATGCTCGAAATGGTGTGCGTATGTGGGTGTGGTGGCCTGGCCCCAAGGTCAAACCGTCTGAAGGCGGGAGAACGTGGGCACGGTACACGAAAAAAAGCCAAACGCGCACCCCGAATACCGGCCCACTCGAAGAGGGGGGAAATATACCTTGTCTCTAATGTACTTGGTGCAAGTCTCCATAAACAGGAAGTCTCGGAGGTTCAACGGTAGCAACAGCGTACAAACGGCCCCAAGTAGGCCAGTTCCATCCACTTCTGTCTGACAATGGAACGCCTGCAAAAATCGGTCACCAACTTCGGGACTCGATAGAGTGCTGACGCCCGGCAGAGTTCGACGTTTGAACCCGACAGTCATCGGTGAGAATTCGCATCTGGGAGAATTTGTACCCATTATCTGGTATGAGACACGGTACAGTAAAACAGCAGAATTTGACTAAAATTAGAGCAACCGACCTCGTCAAGGAGAAAACTAATTTCAACTGCAATCCGGTCGATCCGTCCTCACGAAAACTCCAGTCATAGTTAGTCGAGACACACTTCGGTGTCCATTTAGTTGAGGGATTAGTATTCTCACTGCAAGTCGCGCTCGATGTTGGATGCCATTGTCTGCTTGGTACACCCAGTCGCTCATTCGCTTGGTCGTCGAAACAGGGTAGTACAATCGCACCGTCTGGACTACAGAAATGCTAGGATTGACAGGGGGTGTTGTTGAAGCTCCCCTAGGGAAACAGAGGTACGCAAAGTCTCGTCCAGATTTACATGCTTGAAAGGCTAGAACTCCTCAACACTCTCGAAGCTTACAGGTGTTCCATGAGAGCCACCTCTATCTACTCTGTTGTTCTTTTCTTCAAATGTTGGTTGTGGGCGAGATAGTGGTGGTGGGGGCGGGATGGATCACGTGGTTAGAGCGCGAATTTACTGTGCGAAAGGCCCCGACCCGACCTCTTCCTCTCGACTTCCCCTGTCTAGTCTCAGGCAACCTGGGAGTATCCAAGCCCACGTGCAACCTTAGGACACGAGGCATGGCAGTTAGGCACCGAAAGGGTGCTACAGCTGAACGACTTCGATGCTAATTCTGAATTGCTTATCCAGCGCAAAACGGCTGAGGTCTGACGTCTGACCGTGACTGCGAAAGCTTGGGTAAATCTTTAGGTCGTGGAATGGCACCATGAACGTCCACTACCGCTTAACATCCTGAAGTGTCAGAACGTAGGAAGACTGTACAACGACACATTCAGTGAACGTCTCCATTTCAATGCCAACGAAGCCCGTATGGCGACATTCTTTACGGCAAAGAACTCAGAACTAAGCATTTCAGATAACCATGGATGGTCTCCTCATGTTGAATGAATTCTCGTCAAAGCCCCGCCACTAATGGAAAAAGTGCATGTGCGAAAAGTTAAGCCCCACCCCACCTGTTGCCAGCTCCAATTTAATGTACTCACACAACACCTATTTTTGATGAAAACACAATTCCTTATCCACATCCAGGCTCATTTTGTACAAAACGCTTCTCCGTTCGGACGTAAAACCTTAAATGAACTGTCAGACGCTTTCGACTCTCGTTCATGACAGGGAGACGGTAATACGTTTTTTGCGAAGCCACGGAGTGATCCATCAGCAACGTTTATGTGACAATTCCTACCAAATGACACTTTCAACTGTTCCCGACAGGTGACAGTGTCGACAAGAAATCGGTCTTCGAAAGGCAACTTGGCTGGAGCGATCTAGGATGGAGTTTAGGACAGTAATTATTTTGATCTATTGCTGGTTCAAAAATTTGGCAAAAATCAAACTCTGTTCAGAGGAATTATCCATTAGCCACACGACCGCTGTTGACTGGAAGAACTTTCTTCGCGAAGTTTGCGCCTGGTGGCTTTTGCAGACTCCAACAGTTATCGGCGGCCCAGGTTAACACGTCGAGATCAATGAAACGCTAATATCTCACCGTAAAAACCACACAGGGTGAGTCCTTCCCCAGCCGGGAAACTAAAGAGGTTTTCATGTATGCAGTGTCAGATCGAACTGTGACCACTTTGATGGACACAATCCAGGCCTGCATCGCTCCGGGCTCAATCATCATCTCCGATATGCGGGCATCATACCAAGGAATTGAAACGATTATTGAATCATGAAACGGTTAATCATACAGAAAACTTTGTGGATCCAACGACTAAGGCTCACAGACAAACCATCGAATCTCTTCGACACGTGTCCCAATTTCACCCTCTCCAATAAAAAACTGAAACTACACATTTCATATTCTCTTTCTTCCAATCTTTTTTGGGTGGCGGGGGTTAATTTTTTGGCGGGGCTTATCTGGAAAAGATCATCCGACTGCAATTCTACACCTTCAAACTCGGAATGATGCATGTGCCCCAAAGCCTTATCTTCATGTTTCATCGTCACTTCACGGGTCCTTTCGAAGTGAATCTATTGTTTTCCTATAACTGGAAATGTTGCGGACTACTAATGGCTTATCAGTCGCCAGCTGATTTGCGAACGTTTCACTGAGGAGACAGCACTAGTGTGACGTAGAGTGGATAGTTTCTTCGCCCGTTTAGCAACTCTCAACAGATAGAGAGAAAGCGATCAAGAACAAGCAGTGTCTGCAGCTTGGGACAGCAACTAGGGAAACGCCTCCGACATCATATCAAAGTAAGACCCCAACAGTAGGACTGATCCGAGAACCTGACCAGAAATAAGTCGAGCACGTGTCAGTAGCCGTTCAGCTGCAACGTCATCGGTACCTATCTGTCATGGCACACGAAAGAAGCATGAGGTGTCCAGGCCTAGACAGGAGCAGTCGAGATATCGAGGATGGGCCTTACGGTTAGTAAGTCCTAACCACTGAGCTCTCTCGAGCCTGGCACACATACCTGGGCAGGCTGGGACATGGCAGGAAACTCACTACTGCTATTGTCCTGCTGGTTCTGTTTACTCGCTCACAAATGCGCGAAGAAAAATCGCCCGGACATTCGGGAAACCGATCCTAGCAGGGTGGTCTCACCATCAAACTTAGCCGCGGATAGTCACCGTGCGGAAGTAGGAGAGCCTAACTAGTCCGGTCCAAGACAAGGCCGATTTCACTCAATCCGAATGTCGTGCCACACGAAAGACAGCACCATTCAGCATGGATCGATGTGACGAATAGCAGAAAACACCCACAAAAAATGGCGACGCCCTACAGCGGTGTGTGTGTGTGTGTACTCGGGTCAGACCATCGCAGCTGTCTGGCACAACAGCGGCTTATCACGTCAATCTAGCCGTTGCAACATATCGATCATATCGATTACAGCAGAGTAACCGAGAGAGAGAGGCACGTCAACACGATCGTAGTACAAAACCTTGTTGCTTCCTGCACAGGAGAAAGCGATTCAACTTGTAAGGCTCATGTGTGCAGTCGCATCGTGATCGGTGCCAAAAGATCACAGGCAAACCAATGACTTTTGAAGTAATGTGATTGGAACTGTTGATGATCCTCAACAAGGATGAAACGCATCGACAGTGTAGATTCAAGAAGAGAACTGAAGACGCCGACAGGAACCGCTGTTTGACCCTTATGGCTGTCGACACCCTGTCCAACATATTTTTTATTTATTTTGATCTGAAGCCTGAGAATCGGTAAGATAAAATCTCACCTTGTGCTCGCTGTTCTGGACAAGGACGGCCACTGGAGGAATTAGAGCCGGATCCTGTGGGTGGGAGACCAGGAGTGAAAGAGAAGAAATAAGTGAGCGAGCACTTAATGGAACGTTTCGTTGGTCAATGGCACAACTATGCAAGAGATTATGACGTCCTGTCCACAACTGTCCAAACATTAGTATGAGAAATCAAACGGACAAAACCGAGACTAGACGAAAGCCAGCAAACTGGCAAACCCAATGAGAATTCTTATCGTAGTATGCATTCTTTTTGCACGCCACTTTCGACATTGAACTAATCGGTGTTCTTCTTATATACACTCTTCTGCATACCAATTTGGTTCTGACTGCAGACCCATCTGGAACCCAGCTGAATCTCTCGTTCTCGATGTTCTAAATGTGCTGTACCAGACGGCCTCATGCCTCATTTGGACAGCCGAAACCTGCAAAGGGCTGTCAAAGAGTTTTCAGCAACCTTACAAGTAGTGTATCGCGTTTAAACGATGTTCCTTTTTTCTATTTGTATTCACCACTATTTGCCGACCTGGCTGTTGACGCTTTGGATTTCTACCTGAGAGTCTGATATTTCATGAGGAATATTCCCAGTTTAACATGGCACATTGTACCGACAACCTCGTTTATCACACCATTAACGGGAAATACAATAGGCACGCTGCGAGGTTGTTTTGCTACGTGTTTCAGATTTTGCCAGGATCCGATGAAGAACCATCTCTACTAAAAACCACACACATATGTCGTTCGGCTGTTGAACGAACAAATGGGTTTTTACGTCAAGCGGTAAGGTCCACTGACGGCCAGTTGTTGGAAGTGGGGGCCTGAGCTTAGTGTAGTTTTCGATTCATTTGGCGCGTGAGTAGCACAAATTTGAAAAGCTGGTTTGAGCACCCGAATCGCCGCTCACCGTTACGTGTGTGGGGGGAGGGTGTTAGGTGTCACAGCACCAACCAGTCTGAAGTGAGAGCAGCAGAGGACTTTGGCACGTTGCTCTAATTTGCGAAGAGCACACTCCCTGCCTGGAACCCAAAACGGGTCCTTCCCTGGTACGCAATAGTACACATCTGATGGGTATTACGGCAGGGAATGTGTAGAGCCATGTTTTGTGGGACAAAATTATCATGAGGTTTTGCACTACTCATAACGTTGCTGAAAACTCCTCGACAGCCCACGACCGGTTTCGTTTTTCTCGGGGCTCATCAGGTAGGCGCAATCTCTCAGTTTCCGTCAACCTCATGTTCCACTTGAACCCAAACTACTTAAGAACATCATGAACGAGCTGGATTCAGCTGAGTTCCAGGCGAATCCCCCAAGTTGGCATGAAAATGAGTATATTCTTCTGGATAGGACGCTGCCTACCCTTGGACAGCTTACTGCCGGTTTTTATGCACCATTGAAAGTGACTGTCTGACTGATTAGCGAGAAATTATTTTTAAAAGTAAAACAAATGGGGGTTCCTTAAAGTTCGTCCTTCTCAAGAAGCAATGGAATAAACGAACTCGTCGTTCGTTGGGAGAACCACTGCACTCAACCGATTCCTGACGTGACAACATCCGAGAGGGTCAGATGGGACAACTTTGTGTAGAAACTTTATGTAGTCTGACTTTGAGTCATCGGATGAGCGAATTTTCAGCAGCCCTGATCAGACATGCATTGTGAACTAAGCATTCGTCCGAAATGATCTGGGTACGCGATGTACCCCAGCTCAGGCAAGGAGATCTATCCAGCGGTTCGGAAGTCGGTGAAGCTCAAAGACAGACCTCGCTCAGCCTGGACAAGCCACTTTGGAAATCCTGATCTGATCAACTTTGAGTTCCCTCTAAGCGATAGCTACACAGTTCGACACAGACACACGTCGCATTCAGATTGTGGGGTGCAACCTACCTTTGGACACCAGATTCTTCAAACCCCCATAGCGCTTCCAATAGGTCCAACAGCTGGTACATAGCCGATAGAGGAGATTCTGGGGACCCCAGGCGTACCACTGGGGAGAAATGGTGGCTAGACGAAAAAAAAGACAGACATGGATGTGGTTGAGGTTAGTTATGAGATACGAAAAGAGAGAATGTGTCCGTCGCGGTCGGGCAGACTCACCTGGACAGCCTTCGCAACCTCGACCACCTTTATCCGGTCCGTTGTACAGGACGGACGGATTGGGCTTGCTATAGTTTGGGATGTAGACTTGTTTGAGTTTGTGTTCCTGTGCAGCCAGCTTGGTTCGTCTTTGCCGCACGTACCGGTCGGTGGTCTTCCAGAAATAGTACATTTCCACAAGGGACTTGTGTGTCTTCCACGGCATATAGTCCGACAGAATATCCGGAAATACTTTGGAATATTTGTCCAAGGCTTCTTCGAACAGGTGCGACTCACTCGTGGACCATTCTTCGAGCTGGTCTTTACAAATCACCGGTTGTCCACCTGCAAATCAGTTGCGAAATTAAATAACATCAAAAATGAATGTCAATGTGAGGAGATGTACTGAGAAACAATGCATCCGCGGGGAGAGGCATACCTGGCAACAGAAGTTCGATGGCTTTCTTGACATCATAGTCTGCTTTGTGAAGTAGATCGTGCGCATGCTGTCGGGTGATATCGCGCCCTGAAGCAGAGGCAGCACTCAACAGGAGGGGTTGTCGACACGAAGACGAAGTATCGTAGGCACGACCCAAGGTGCCGACTGCACGGACCAGCAGACAGAACATGTCAATCTCTTGATTTGTGAGACGACCCGGTTTCCAGACAAGCTCTTCGAGCTTGCTTGAGAATCTGGGATCAGTTTCGGCTGGCAAAAAAAAGATTGTAGCAAAAGTACGGTAACCGCAACATTTACAAGCCAGGACTGACAAAATGAGAAGGCAGATGGTTCGCCCGAAAACAGGTTTACTTTTCTGCACCTGCTTGGAAAGTTCAGACGGTCAATTATAGAGATTGAAGATGACAAGAACGCCAAACTGAACCCGTTCCACTGTGGCGGCCAGTCAACACATAGCTGGTAGGTAGGCAGCACGAAAACGATGAGGCTTCTACCATCGCGACCTGAATTGGCAAGTGGTGCGTATAACGTCTTAGCGAGTTCAGCAGAGGACTGGAAAGTGGTACAACGCAGCACAATTACGGGCTGCTACGAGCCGAGTCAAAAATAGGGCAACCACGCACAGTGTTCTCATACACGCTCTCATACATATAAAGTGAAACAATCTAGTGGTGAGCGTAACCTTTAGATGACCTGAGACACAAGTCCGAAATCCGTTCATTTCAGTCAGCCAGTTACACAGATAAATTTGCTTTAACGATGGTGAAAACAGAGGAAGAGTTACGAAGTAAGGTGACCACTGATGAAAGAGGTTCCGCCGTCACAATGTGGACTGAGCAAGGGCCTCCGCAGCGTCGTTGACAAGATGACCGGGTCACCTCTCCCCAGATCGTTAACCATAGTTTCGTCTTGTCCCGAGCTCACTAAGGAGCCAATGAGATGGGTGCCGTTACCAGGTTGGAATTTGATTGATCTCGGGCGGTTTTTGTCCAGAACACAGCCGAAAAGAGGAGCTCTTCGGCATTCAAATTACGTCAGGCGACCAAAGCAACCAGCTGAGTGTGACTGGCTTGTCTGTCCACTTCGTCTAGCCTACTCTGACCAGAGATTCTCCGGGGATAAACAAATGAGCATATAAAGCCTCACGTATCGAGACCAGGTCCCTGGCTCACGCCACACGGTAGTTCTTGAGTAGTTCACATGGGAATGCAACAACAATGCGAGTAAACTCAAAAAATACCTATCAGCGGACAGTATGAACGATTCACCTACTCAATCGTCAAACTTTAGTGTTTCCTACGCTACCTGCAACATTTCGTTGCCATACCAGTAAGCTCAACGTTCATTTTCAGGGATTTGAGAACCCACAAATGAACGTGCCGAATTCCAACGACGCGCTACCTTCGTTAGGTGCCCGACAAGTGCCGTGGTTTTAACATATCCCAACCTAAAGCGGGAGTCGCGGCAGTCGGACATGAGTACTGCTACATTGGCTGGAACTTCGTTCTACAAGATGCAACCATGCCAGGAAGGCCAAAGGGGAACAGTCACGTCAGTTCTTACAGCTGATAATGATGATGAAAGTAGGGGTCTTAACATTTTGTCCTTTTTTTATTAGTCGATCAGTGGAAACCACAAAACTACTCCGTTGCACAGACACCAAGAAAAATTAGTCTCCTAGTTACTGGTTGTGTGGTACTGATGACCCAATACGAAATGCGCGCACCAGCTTCAACTGCACTGGTTAAACAACCCATTTGTCGAGGTTTGACGCGACCCAATTCAGCAATCAAGTCGACCGCATACACAACCATAGCACGACTCACTTCCGCTAGTCTCTCGGAAAATGGTGGGTGGTTCGCACATGGATTGTAAGTTTCCGCGGGAACTGGTGCTTAAAGACCTCTTGAAAAGTTGTCGTACCAGACAGCTTGTACTTTCAGACTGAGGGCCTTGAAGTGTACCAGAGTGCATCAATTGAGCGTTCCGATTGATTGTTTATGCTGTCTAACCGTGTTCCATCACTTGGAATCATATCGCGATAAGAAGTGCCCAACATATATGATGTCATGCCTAAAGACCCCTTACTCCTTGATTCTCCCAAAAAATGATACGAGCAAGCTTGGATGGCACAGCTGGTTGAATTCGGTCACAATATCTCGAAGGATGCCATTCAACGTTGTTATCTTGTACGTTGAAACAAGCGTTGCTATAACAGGCGTAAAGCCCGTGTCCAGCTGCATAAAAACTTCTACCATTGAATGGGGGATCGGTTCCCCCCTCGAAATCACAGAGGGGAGCACAGTTTGCTTGGTGTCCTATCGATTTGGTATCTAGCGGCGACGTCACTCCGAACACATAGTTTGCCGGCACAACGTGGAACGCGTACCCACCGCGGCTGAGTCACCCTGTTGAAGCACGCGGTGGACATTTCTTGGTGCAATCCAACGTCCAAAGTTCAGAAACACAAGTAACAGGATCGCAGTTGACCTTGAATTGGCTAGTCTAAAGGTATGAATGACCGGATATATGACATCCAGGCCCCCGTAAGAACTCGTCATCCGGCGGTTCCCATGCGATGTATTGTTTCGATGAAGAGTCGAGTGTGGCGTTAGCAATGTAACATCAATAACTCATTCAATAAATTAACGGTGGAAGGGAGGTTGGCTCGAAAGACAGGGAGCCAAGTCTGACAACACGAGAACTTACATTCCTTCAGTAGTGACTGAATTTCCGACTGATGATCCGATCCGATGCGCATGGCACCGCGGTCCTCTTGCAATGTCTTTAGCGCGGGATCATAGATTAGTTTGTAGTAGAACGTGTCCTCCCGCGCCAGATAGTTGGTCAGCGGTTCGGCATCATTGTACAGTGTGACGGAGCATTTTCCTGGTCACAAAGATGTGGAAGAGAATAGGGTGACGAGATGTAAAAAAGAAGAGAGTGACGAATGAAACAGAAACGGACACGAGCTAATCATGGAAAGTTCATGAAGCAAAGAATCCTCCAACGAAGAAATCAGCAGCAGCAGGACGAGCATGCACTTACCACGTATGTGTGTGGCAGGAAGACACTCAATTTGCCGGGAAAGGAACAATTCCCGATGCTTGATCCGATGCTTATCCAACTCGGTGATCGCGGTTCGTGAGCGCTTTGTCGGCCCACCATCACCACCAACACCATTGGGAGCCGAGTCAGGCAGACCACAGTCCTCATCACTACCATCGTAGTCATTGACATCTGTCCACACGCATTTGAAGAAAAAAAGCAAGATGGGAAACAAGTGAATTGGAGAGACTACTAGATAGAGCGACATCGCTGAGCAGGTACGTTCAACTCAATTTCGAAAGGGGGGGGGGAATTGGAAGTTAACATATCCATGTTGTTTCTCAAAGAGATGATTGTACCGAACACTAGAATCACGAACAAAACATATATTCTCACAAAACCACTCAATTTATGGCAGCTAGCTTCTGCGACAAGGTGAACCGGTCCTACTTACGTCACGAAATGCAGCACTTCACGCGCGGCAATCGATGGCAAGATATCCGCGTATTTCAGTCCACTCCTGCTTCTAGCGATGAACACCATATAAGCTATCTGAAGTTCAGAGCTACTGGCGTGATGAGTCATCTTTTCAGTGGATTTCCACGACAGAAGCTCTAGTCTCCTACGGCACCACCACCAATATAGTCTGGAATGTTGGACGTGCACAGAGGAATGAACCATTAGGAGGCGGCGAGTATTACGATCGAACAGTCGATTACGCCACCTTGTCCGCTGACGAGGATTTTCACACATCACTGATCAAGCTCTCAAACATCACCGACTCGTAAGGGTATTGCATTGCCCAAGTAGAATAGAGCCGGTTGGCAGACCAGAATTTCGGTTCAAGTATTGAGTGCTAACGTTCAGTCAGATCTTGGCGTCTTGACTACTTTATTCTCAAAGCCCTCTCTCTCTCCTTGAAATGGGGGGTTTCTAAGGCAAATTTTAATTCCAGGTCAAGCTCCCCGGACCATTTATGGTATGAAGTACTCGATCTGGTCAATACAAAACAGCGGTCCATTATTCGCTTTGAATAATGGGTTAATATTCCAGCAGGTTGAGACGATGAGACATAGTTACCCTGAAAGGCCTCAACCAGAGGTACTTCACCAGTCTCGAATGTCTCGTCAGAGCGGGACGAGTATTGTTCGCGCGAGTAGCAACTTTGGGCAGATGACAAATTTCCGATGGGGCGGGCCAGCGCTCTACACACGCCTTGTGGAAACACGAAGGAAGAAGGCTTGAATATGGCCTGGACGGCGTTGGTGCCAAAACACTCAAGGCCTAGCGCGAACAACCTGGCGGATACTCGATAAGTTCGTGGGGCCCGTAACAACCGTTCAACAACAATAAGTTGTGAAACTTCTCATCAAAACAACGACTACGGCCCAGTGTCGTTCTAACGATGACGTTAGGTCACGTGCGCTTAACAAAACCTTTGTCACGTGATCCAAGCACGTGACCCCACATATCGCACTAAACGGAGGTGAATCAGAGCTGATGGAAACCAGCTAACACGTTGAGAAGGTCCAGTAAGTAGCCTTCGCCAGTGTGGCGCAACAGTAAGTGTTTCGAATTGTGGAAATGAGCGACACGGAAACAACAACCGTTAGCTTATACTTAAACACAAGTTGCATGGGGTCTATGCAAAGAGGTCAGGGGTCACATCTGGTGGTAGCAGTACCACTTGGGGGCGGATGATCTTGAGTGGATGCGGATCTCGCCCTTCGAAGGAAGGTTGCGCTTGTCCGGCCAAGCACGTGTCTGCGTGTATGGGTGCGAGTGGGCCAAGTGGCTACACAAGCGACAGGAGGCAGTGAGAACATGGGAGTGAAGAGAGCGGGATTGGTGTAACAGGCTAGCGGTTAAGGCCACACACACGCGCACACGCACAAACGAGAGGTAGCCCGTCAAACAACAACACCCGAGCGCAGACTGGGAAAAGTAGGGTGTGGTTGTGATTAGTCTGGATGTTGTCCCTGAAACAGGAAACAACTGCGGCGCTGCATCCATGCATGATTCATACGCTGACCCGGCATCGATCGATCGATCGTGAGGTGAGGATACCGAGCACCTGAAGTCATCGCGCGATTAAAGCCAGGCGAGCTAAGGTCAGGAGCAGATGCCCGGTGATTTAGGACAGCCAAACATGAGTGGAATGGCAAATAGCCAGCCTAGTTCACAGTGCACGCGCACAAAAACTGTCCCCTCCTAGCTAACAAAACTTAACCCTCAGATGAAGTTATCTTTTGTTAGTTACAGCCCTTCTATAGTAGACCTTGCTAGGCCTTTCCAGAGGGTAAGTCTCCTAAGGCCTCGATCGATGAGATGGGGAACAATTGACGTCTTTCTTTTCAGCTCACTGTAAAGCTAATCAAGCAATCTCTGCTGAGAAACCCCTCTTTACTGCCCCATCACGATGGAAGAGTTTTTACCAAGGTGAAGGGAGAAAATGAGTGTTTGGTTGACAGTCCAGGCTATTGACTGTCTTTTTAAGGAAGAAGGCTGATTCGCCGCCAACAACAGCGAAAACATAAACCACCTCAGGTGGGCTGGACGGACAAGATCTGTTTCAGAATCTAACTGCTGGCGGTGCTGATCGACCAGTCTCTGAATGTGCCTTGTTGGCAAGATGGCTCAGTGCAGTCAAATGGCTTCGTAGTTAGAGCGCGAATTGAGTGACCGGAAGGTCCGTGATTCGAACCCGAACTCTGAACTTCGACTTCCCCTGCCTGGGCTTGGGTCTCCCAGCCCTCGTGCTTCCTTCTGATGCAGTTAACCACCGAAAGAGTGCTACAGCTGAACGATCTACGGTTCTTGAATGTGCCTTGTTGCGTCACAAGCTGCTATGCAAAGGCTAGAGATGCGCCCCGGGTAAGAGGCCGAATGGCGCTAAAACAAGGCCGGTAATAAATCTGCATAAAAACGTCTCTTACATGCAGTTCTGTTAATGTTACGGCGTCTTCGGAAAACGGAGTAGTAAGTCTACACTGCGCTATCCAAATGTGTTCAGTGATGAAACTGGGAGCATTCGTCACTGCGTACCACAGATATCCCAGCTTCTTCAACAATGACATCTACAATGGTTCTACGATGGCTTTGTGCGGAAGGGACGGTGAAATTGCTAAGGACATCTTGGCCGCTACGTCATATTAAGGAGAGCGTTGACGCCTCGGGGGGCAACCGAAAACAGCTCAGTGAGTTTACTAATGGCGTCGAGCAACTTCATCTCCGCGTGGTGCATGGAGGTCGTCACACCAATAGATACTACTCTAAACATCAGTCTGCCGCATTGAGGACAACTTCAAACAGGACGGGGGGTGGTAGTAACTAAACCTGACCTATGCGCGTTTCAAGGCGAGAGCTGAACTGCCCCACCCTGCCTAGTGAAGTTCTTATCGTGGTCAGTCAATAATGCTTCCCAGATAGATTTCATCTTGTGCCTTTTTCCGGACAACTCGAGTACATTCAAGCATAGAACTGCGGACGTCGTTGTCCGCACAGCATTGAGAGTCTACTCACAGATTGAACTGTAGCACTTCGTCCACCTGACAGAGGAAAACGGAATATCTTAAAAATAAGGATAAAAACGAAACTGACCAACTTAAAGAGGGTTTATTGCCCAAGTTGTGTTCGAAAAGGAAAGCAAACGGTGGGGTGAACCGTGTGGTCATCATCATCGACAGCATGACATCAGTGTTCAACACCGGTGCTTCACTGCC